CACGAGGTTCTAAGTTTGCGCAGGTGTAGCTGTTTTTCTACTTTTTTTTTTGCCCTCCGTGTTAGAGTAGCGTGGTTCATAAATCTTGATTGGCCTTTTTGGGGATACAAAGACTTTTCTTTGTACAGCGTTACAAGTCGTCTATAACCCTGATCCCTGCAATGGATTCTCCGTCTGACAAGCCGCGACTCTTGACGACACCGCGACCTCTCTTCGCGTTGCCTTGGCAACAGCTCCAGGGCTTCCCGCCCTTTTCTTGATCTGGTATTCGTGGTTCCTGTCTGCCAAATTACTCAAGAGTAATGCCCTGGGATGTGTGGACTTTGGGTCAGGATTTCGTGTCGCGACGTACTCCTCTGTTTAACTCCACGTGTCGTCAAACTAGAGATCTAACCTCTGAAACAAAGACTTATCCACAGGGAGATTCCGTTTGCGAAAGTCGTTACATTTTTCTCTCCTCTTGGAAAACGAGATTTTTTTTGTGTGACACAAAAAGCGCCTCCTTGCGGCTGACAAAGATGCACACTGCTATTACAACTGTCGGAGGGTATCTAAGTCAGCGGCGACACGTTGCTCAGGAATTTTGCTTCCTTAAACGAATCCGTCTGGAAAAAACGTCTCGAAGTAGCTGTACGACTGTAGGAATGTTCTTCTTCCATACACCACGAGCCAAGAAATTTCACCACAGCTCAGTTCCACCCACACACGAAAATCCTGTCGGAAATTCGAATTAATCCCCCTTCTCTTATCAAGAAATCTTTAACCTCAGTCAGAGAGACGATATTTCTCTTGTGTAATCACACACGCACCTGGAGGGTTCAAAATGTCTTCGTCGCGTTCCTCTGCGGTGGGAGGTGACACCAAAATGGCGCGACCCAGAGAACCTTCTTTAGTGTCGCCTTCCCGAAAAAACAGTGACCGAGTCAGTAACACAGGCGTTCTACTGTTGACAACCTGGTACCACTGACGCAAAGAAATCCACTCCAATCCCCTCCGCAAGGCTGATATTTCCTCCGGCGTCTTCAAACGTCTCCTTTACTTCTCCAAGATCTTAAAGATGTCTCACCTTGCCTCACCCCCCGCACGTGGTTCTGATTTCAAGACGTGAAATCACTCTCACTTTCGAAGACGCCGTCGATTCATCAGACGTGTCCGTGCGTTGGGTCGTTCCCGATCTTCGGTTCACTTCTTTTAATTTAGAATCGGCTAGAGCTCTGCTCTCCAGATGTTCTCCTGAAAAAAAAAATGGGGAGAAAACTATACTGAGAAAAGATGTGCAGTACCATTCAATGTCCGTTCGCAAATCATACAAATGCGTGCGTACATATAGCTACACATTAGCCCCATATGTACAGGAGCCATCTAGTTGACATTGGGGTAGTCTGGTGACCCAAGTTCGCTTTTAGGTCACGGTATACTGAAGACGAATGGCTTGTACACAGTTCTAGTGACACATTCATGACATACTTGTATTTGTCTTCTTGCGACAAGTTGTAAAATGTGGCGTCCTGATGTGGCTAAACTTTGCTCTGGAAGCCAGCGGAGGTTCCACGTTTTCTGTCAGGCCTTGATTTATGTCGTATACATAGCCTCCACCAGGCCTTTCTACGGGTATACGGATCGTAGAATTTGGCAAAAAAGGAGAGTAAAATTGGCCAAGGGAGTCCGGCCGCGGAGAGGTAGTTTCTTTCCCTCCGAAGCGGCCCGGTCAAACCTACAAGGCGGTCAAACTTCCCTGGCAATCATTCTCCTATATATAGCCAGCGTAGTTAGTCCGGTAGAGACTACTGTATACAGCTACATGTAGATGGTATGTCAACCTCTCTGTCACTTTTTG